TTAATCATCTCTTTTCCAAGGGCAGCGGCCGACTTAGTGTGTACGGGGTTTCAAAGCTTTTGTCCCCTCCCCCGTGCCGTGGACATAAAGGCTGTGAGGTCAGAGTCGCTGAGCAGATTTAATCTAATCCCATGTCCAGTGCCTGCGTGGGTGTTTGTGTGAGAGAGGGGTCTTAAAATTCCCACATGAAGATGGAGATATGTTTACTTAAGGAGGATGTGGACCAAAAATGCATGTAGAAAAGATTGGAGTTGGGTTTTCGAGGCCTTTGTATATGGAATTTTTCTCTTTGAGACACCTTTAAGGTGTGTAGTGCCTGTCACTGTTACTCACCTTGAGACAGCTTTGTGTGGAAATTATTTCATAACTCAGTTGTTAGGGCTGAGTTATGTGAAATATAAAACATTTACAAAATGCAGTCTGTAAAAAATTATTTTATTTGGATAGGTCTTGGGTTTGGTATTTTTACTTAGTTTTTGTTTTAGGAGAAGATGTCTCATTGTTTATTCCATGCTGGCCTTAGACGTGAGGCAGCCCTCCTGACTACTGAGGTTACACCTGAGCCACCATTCTTAGCTATGATTTTACATTTGAGTTTTCAACTGTAAGCATGGAAAACGTGTTTAGCACCTGCTCAGTGATTAGGCTCAGTCCGTCAAATTGAAGACAAGATATGCAAACAGTGATGATACCTAAGATTGTTCCTCTGTAGAAAGCTGGGTACAGTGCCATGGGGCTTCCAGGGAAGAGGACCTAAGCCATTAGAGGGCAGAGACTGGAAGAACCAGAGAGCAAGTCGAGCACTGCTGCTGCAGAAGCCTTGGGGTGCACAAGCATGGAGAAGCTCAAGTGCAGCGCAGCCCCTGCAGGCCGAAGCACAGTGGGCGCATGCATGCCTGTCTTCCTGACACTTGGCAGCAGGATCAGAGGTTCACAGCCATCGTGTAATCCATATTGAGACCCTGCCTCAAAACAAGAAGATAGACTAGATCGAATCATCCCCACCTTGAACACCATGCCTTTAAAGCATCTAGACTGTGCCGTGGACTTTGGGTACCTAAGTGTGAGGCTCAAGGGCTGAGGCAGAACGAATAGAATTGGTTCAGCACTGAAAAGCCATTTGGAATGGTTTAGAAGAAACCAGGACACCCCTCCCCCCTGATCCTTCCTCTGTTGACTTTCCCCATCACATAGACAAGAACCCTCCCTGACCCTGCCTTTGTTTTGTTAACACACCCATGTAAGTGGGGTTTCAAAAATGACTGTCGTCAAACAAAACCTAAGCCCTGCTTCAAGTTGTACTGCCAAATGCTTATCCCTAAACTGACAAAACTTAAAAACAATGGTTACACACAGTTACTAATGCTATGAAATCAGATTTTCTTTTCCCTGATTGCCTTTGGTTCGGATCCCCCACCACCATCACCACCACCACCCGGGCAGGTGCACACATTTGGTGCCACCAAGTGATGGTCCGAAGACAACTTTTGGGAGGGAGTGTTCTCTACCATGTGGGTCCCAGGAATTGAACTCAAGTCATCAGGCTTGATGACAATGACTCCCACCCACTGGACCTTCTAACTGGCCCTGCACCCTCTACCCCCACCTTTTTTTGGGGGGGATAAGTTTGTGCTATTTGCTCTGGCTGGCCTAGAACTTACTGTGTAAGCCAGGCGTTGGTGGCGCACGCCTTTAATCCCAGCACTTGGGGAGGCAGAGGCAGGCGGATCTCTGTGAGTTCGAGGCCAGCCTGGTCTCCAGAGCGAGTGCCAGGATAGGCTCCAAAGCTACACAGAGAAACCCTGTCTCGAAAAACCAAAAAAAGAACTCACTGTGTAAATCATGTTGACCTCCAACTCAGAGGTCCTTTACTTCCCCACTGCTGCTTAAAACTCATTTTTACTCTCAGGTGGGACTCTTTCGGTGTCCCTCAAGCCAGCCCAAGTGTGGTCACACACAGCTGGAGAGCAAGAGAAAGGACCCCAAATTTATGACCACTTTTGTGGCAGTCTTAGTTGAGCTGCAAGATAGATAACCAGTTCTGATACTTGAGTGTGGACAATGCACAGAAGCAAAACACCATGGCATACTATAACTGCAGTGCTTCAACTACTGTCTAAAAACTATATTTGAGCCAGGTGGTGGCGGCAGCTTTAATCCCAGCACTTGGGAGGCCAGCCTGATCCACAGAGATAGTTCCAAGGTAGTCAGGGCTATATAAAGAAACCCTGCTTCAAGAAAACAAGCAAACAAAAACTATTTAGAATCTGTAACTTCCCCCTTCCCCCCAAAAAAGTAACCACAATTTGGAGGAAATTTGGCATCTGTATTTGTATTATAACTTCATAAAAATTGTTTACTGTCAAAACAAATGTACATGTTATTACATTTCATTTTTGTTCTTTTGTATAGCTTTTATTTTCTCTTTGAGCTTATACTTGCCTGTTGTGGTAAAGGAGAACGTCTACCATTTTCAGGTGTGAGTGGTTCTCTCTTAACTTGTTCTGTAGTCCACGTACCTGGGGACCGTCCATTGATGCGACAGGCCTGAGACTCCTAGACCTGCTGGCCTCAACTTTGAACCAGTTGTGCCAGCTTGGCTGCTTCCGGTGGCTCCTGGTGCTTAGGCTCAGCTCTGTTCCTTGTCTTGCTCCCATTCTCCCTTTCAGGGTCTCCAAAGCCCATGTGGCTGCCATCTGAGGTTTCTGTGCTAATGTCATGCACATTCTTCCAAGCTTCCTGAGAGAGTGTGCGTGAGCAGCAGAGTTTTGAACCATATCTGAACTTGTGTGGTGTGAGGTTAATTTGGGTCATCATAGCTGGGTGTAGAATTCTAAGCTGCAAGTGATTCCAGAATGCTTGAACCAGGGTGCCTGAAGGTATGGCGCCATCTCCTTAGCTTCTGTGTTTGCTGTGGAGTTCAGTATTTTTTGCATATGTTCCTCTTTCCCTACTTGGTTCTTTCTAGAATCTTTTGGGCTTTTCACTGTTTTCCGAATGTTCTCAGAAGATGCAAGTGGGTGTCTGGATCTCTCATCATCCATTGTGCCAGGTGCACCAAATGGTCTTTTCCATGACACACTCATTTTCTCAGTAATAGAAGTTTGCTGTGTGTCTAGATTATTCCCTACTTGCTAATCTTTTTTAGTATCTGGAAATTTTCCTTGTTATCTTACAACCTTTGGAATGTATTTTATTTATTGCACTTTTTATTTTTAAAATCCTCTCATTTTTCTTTTCTAATTGATTGTAGAATTTTAGAGGCGTTGTCCAGGGTTTTGTTGTTGCTGCTGTTGATTTTCATGTGTGGCAAGGTCTCTATGTAGTCCAAATTGGTTTCAAACTCACAGTTCTCCTGTCTTGGCCTCCTGGGTGCTATGATTATAGACATACCCCATCATAAGTTTTGTGAGTTGAGGCTGGCTGGCTTGTTGGCTGGTTAGTTTGGGTGGCTGTTGATTGTGGTGCCAGGAATCTAACTTTTAGAGTCTCATACATGCTAGATTAGATTTCTTCTACTAAGCTCTACTCCCAGCTCTATATTTTCTATTTGTAAAATGGAGTTCCCTATATTACAGCCTAAGCTAACCTGAAACTCCTGGGCGCAAGTTATGTTCCTGTCTCAAACTCTCACTACAGGTGTGGGTTTGTTTTGGGGGTGTTTATGTTTTGTTTGTCTTTGTGTTTTGCTTTGCTTTATTTTGTTTTTAATAATGTCCCATTTTAAGACAGTAATCTCTGAGGATGCTAGACTGTGACAGCATTCGTTTTGTTTTCTTCCTAAGTTACCTTTTTGTAGCTCTGTGCCCTTAGGAGGAACACATCAGAATGTTGCTTTGCAGGTTATCCAGGGACAGAGCTAGGCAGCTAATGGATGGCGGGGCTAGCTAGTGTTAGAACAGTCACTCACTCACCTCATCTCACTACAAGTTTCTTCTTTGGGCTGAATATCAGATGTTCTGACACACTGGTCTAGGTGTTAGGGTTTGGAACACTGACCTACTAATGCACTCAGTTAAATACTAATTTCACAGTCATTACTGTTACCAGCCTCCTTCCTCTTCCTGGAGGATCTTGAAGGGGTTTGGGCAGGGGTTACAGCTTCTGCTTCCAACAGGAAGACACGCCGAACAAAGTGCACGGTTATTTGGCCCAAGTTAACTGGAAGTGGGCGCCCTTCTCCAAGGCCCCATGCTGCCTCCTTTCTACAGTAGCTCCACTCTGAGTAATAGTGGTGCTGGGAGATAGATGGGGGGGGGGGGGTGTTTTGTTGTTGCCTTTTAGGTCACCCTAAAATACGGTTTTTAAATTATACCAGCCTGTGGAATGCTAAGGTTAGTAGACAAGTGGGCTAGTGTAGTTTGATTTTGTTTCTTTTATACGCTTGATTCTGGAGGAAATGAGAGAGGTGGACCACAGTGGCCAGACAACAAGGTAGAAGAAGTCAGAAATTTGTTTTGTTGTTGTTGTTGTTGTTGTTGTTTCTTCTCAGGCTGATAGAAGCTCGAGCATGGACAGCTGGAGGGTAGAAGAGACAAGCAGAGTAGCAGAGTAGGTGGTCTGTTGCTAGAAGCAGGGGTGGCTGGAAGGGTGGACTCATGCTCAGTGGGCTGTGCTTGCTAAAGATGGAGGCAGGTCTTCGTGGAAGTGTTCCCACAGTGTCCACACTTCTCTTTCCTGAGAGTCTGTCTTAAAGAGCTAAAATGAACTGAGAAAAGAGATTTGCTGCCAGGTGCCATGGCACATACCTATGATCTAAGAACTTGGGAGGCTGAGGCAATAGGATCAAGAGTTCAAGGCCAACCTGGGCTACAAGACCTTGTCTCTAACAAAAAGAAAAAAGGAAAAGAAGTTGAAACTTATCTATGCCCAGAGAGCAGGTAAGTCGTTAACCTGGGGCTGGCAGTCAGTGATACCCTGAAGGATCAGAGCCAGTTGCCCCAGCCAGCACCTGGGTCCTGAGCATGGGCCCCACCAATGGTCTTGCTTTGTCTCTCCAGGCCTGGTCCAGATCCCTGTGAGTATGTACCAGACTGTGGTGACCAGTCTCGCTCAAGGCAACGGGCCAGTGCAGGTGGCCATGGCCCCAGTAACCACCAGGATATCGGACAGCGCAGTCACCATGGACGGCCAGGCTGTGGAGGTGGTGACATTGGAACAGTGACACGCAGCCCTATCATGGCATCGTTTTCTAGTCTACTTCAGATTTTTTACCTGTTTGCAGAGGTGCAATCAAATGGAATTAAGTCTCTCGGCTTGGGAAGAAGAGTTTTGGTAACCTTTTTTTAAAAAGGAAGAAAGGCAGCAGATTTTGGAATCACCTTTTTCTAAAGCACCACTTCTGGGATTTGGTGGAGCAAGAATCAACACCGATTTCACTGTCCCAAAAAAGCCAAATTGTGGCCGGACTTCTTTGTGGGGAAATGTGTGTATACTTATGTGTATGTATGTGTGAGTGTGAATATATGTATATGTGTACATATGGACATACACATTTACATATGTGTATAAAGTATATATGTACATACATATGTATGTATGTATGAAACCCGCATGGAATTATCTGTATGAAATCAAGGTGAACTGTGGGAAAAAGATAACCCACCCAGTTCAGTGGGTGGTAGGTACATGGCCAGACACAGTCACCTGGTTTTCATTCATACCAGGGTCATGCATTGAGCTACTGACAAACTCAGGCAGAGGTGACCACGCCCTCCACCAAAGCTGCCTCCCAGTGGCGCCTAGAACTCTGCTAGATTCACCAGAGGGAAGGAAGATCCAGGACACGGTGCGGTCCAAAAAGTGCTTACGGAGTCCAGTCACCACGTGCTTTGCCAGCAGAGACTTCAGGCTGCCCCAGGTGCTGACCTTCCTCAGGCACACAAATGCCCTACAGGCTCCTGGCAGGGGCAACAAATCTTTCCTCTGGTTCCCATCTCCTCCCTTCCTGGGAATCCTCAGTCTTATGACTATTGAAGAGTTGCTTTGGTTTCGAGGGCAGTCCAGAACCAATTCTTCTGTGAAACTGAAGGGAACAGGAGTGTTAAGGGCCTGAGGAAGTGCTTAGGGAGCAGGCGGGTGTAAGTGCAGGGGTGTGTGTGTGTGTGTGTGTGTGTGTGTGTGTGTGTGTGTCATAGGGAGAGAATGGGAAGAGTGGGAGAGCAAGAAGGGAAGGAGGGAGAAAACTTCATAACCAGGGTGCGACCATGGGAGCCATGCTCTCGAGCATCTGGCTGTCTCTTCACAGAAGAGACAGCCATATGAAAAGCCTCTGCCTGTGGGCTAGCCATCGGAGATGTGTCTAGAGAGAAGGGCCACATTCCTGGTGTGGCCCTGCTCTAGGAGGACTCTACAAGGACCATTTTCCCAGCACATCCTGGCAGCCCAGGCCTGGAACAGCTTCCCTGCTCACAGTGTGGAGTGGATGGATCGGTCTTTGTCACTGTGAACTGTGCTTTTCCAGCCACAGCCCTGAGTCTCCAGTGGCTAATTCACCTGACTTCTTGACAAGCCAAATCTCCACTCCTTGCAGACAGGGACAGCTCCTCGCCCTCCTCCCAGGCCCTCCCTCAAGTGTGATAGTGTATTTAATGTGGTGTTTTGGGGTTTTGTTTTTTAATGAGACATTAAAAGATTCTTCATGTCTTGCTCAGCCTTTGAGAAAAGTTTCTGATTCTTATATTTGCTTGTTTTATATGAAACTATCCAATGTTTTTTGTATGTTCTTTTCTGTACGTAATGGGGGAGGAGTGGGAAATTTATAAACAGTCCTGGTTCTACAATTTGTTATTTTTTTAATTATTATTTTTTATCATATATTGTGAAGCTGTCCGGGGGCTTTAAAGGTCCGTGTTCCTTTGTGGTGAAGTAACCTCCCAATAGTTTGAGAAATTGCCAAGAAGAAAAAAGCAAGACCCCAGTAGCAGAGCATGGATTCTGTGTTGTTCCCCACTCTGTCTAAACTGCCTCATTCAATAAATAGTTTAAATGTGGCAACAACAAGTGCCCCCTCTCTGTAGTAGCCTTGGCCTCTTGGGCTACAGGACTGGGGGGGGTGGGGGGGGGAGTTGTAGTTCATTGTCCTTTTCAAAAGACATGCACTAGAGTCAGAGGTCTTTACACCGGACAGCCCAGGGCTGCAGGAGGCTCCTGAGAGTACTGGGTGAATGCCACCAGGCCCAACTCAGTCCGTTTTTCATATCATGGTGTTCTGGAACAGTCACTCACAAAACATCACAGTGATTTGAAGGCTCCACTCTGGCATTTGGTTTAGGTGTTTATTTGGCACCACATTCAGAGTCTAGGAGGGTGTGATGCTGCCTCTGCATCTTGGGTCTTCCTAATGAGTGTGTTTGAAACAGGCAACGTCCTCAGCCAAAGGTCCCAGCCTGAGTTGCTCTTATGGCCTCATGTCTTGGTTTCTCTCACACACACATACACCTCACTGTTTTAAATGCGCAACTGTCACCTTCACAGATGTCCCCTGCTACACCCTAACTCCAGCCCTTCCCAAAATCTTGGGTCTCTTATTCACCCTGAATGCCCTTTCTCTGCCTGTTTTCATTGGTAGTTTCCTGCTGGCAGGATTAAAGAGTGGTGGAATGAGGAGGATGCAGGATGCGTTTTCCTTTTGTGTCTAACCTTGGCTCAGTAGCGTTAAGTGCTTGCCTCTTTCCCTGTTTGCATACACGGTAGACTGCCATCTATATCCTCCAGGGAGGGAGGACCAGAGGAAGGAGTGAGTGCTGCTGCCCAGAGCAGCATAGACAGACAGACAGACAGACAGACAGACAGACAGACACACACACACACACACACACACCCCGCCATCAGCCATTTCAAGATGCTTGCTACTAGTCCCTGCTATTTGCAAGCCAGACCCAGACTGTGCCTCCCTCTGTTGACAGCTTCTTTCACAGGGCGAATGACAAGCTTCTCTTCCACTTCTGCCCCCACCAGTGGGGGCCACTAAACTGCTCTGTGCCCAGGGCCAGCTAAGTGCAGTCAGTGAGTAAGAGATCAGGGAGGTCAGCGTAAGATGTGAAGTGGCAAACAGCGATCCAACAGGGAGCTGCCTAAAGGTTAAGTGCCAGCAGAATGTCACCTCAAAAGTTCCGAGAGAATCTGGGGAATCGAGTTTTGATATGAAATCTGATTTCATTAGCAAGATAAAATTCAGTGTGTGCTCTGCAGGCACAACACAATCTGTTTTGTCAACTAGATCTGACCTGAGGGTCTGTTAGGTTAAACTCACAAATATTGGCGAGTCCTCCGTAAATAAAGGTTGGCATGGTCCTTTGAGGTGGCTTGGCAGGTAAAAAATGTTTGCTGCCAAGCCTGCTGGCCTGAGTTTGGTCCCTGAAGCTCACACAGAAGGAGAGAACTGATTCCCTGGGGTTGTCCTCTGACCTCCACATGTGTGGTGTGGCACTTGTGAGTACACACACACACACACACACACACACACACACACACACACACACACACAAAAAAGTCAAAAAAAGACACAGCAGTTGTCCATAAGAAGTAAAAGGAGTGGGGTTGTAGCTCAGCAGTAGAGCATTTGCCCAGCATGTACAAAGCCTTTGGTTCAATCCTCACAGCAATAAAATAAAGTGAAGACAGCAAGCCTGTTAACAGATTGCTGCAGCCGGGTGTTGAGTAGAATGGAGCACAGTGTACTATATCCCAAGGATCCACCATGTTAAGCTCATCACACTGCAAACAGGAACTGGGGCTCACAGAAGCCTAGAGACCTGTCAATCTAGGAATTCCTGGTGGTCTTACAGCTAAAGATATGCCCTAGAGGTGCTCTCGATTCCTGAAGTCATCTATAGTCCAGTGACCAAGTAAGGAGATCACTGGAAGAGCAGCTCAGGCTGCAGGGCACAGCCCAGGGTGGGTGAGCACCAGGTCCATCGGGGAGAAAACCAACTTGATTGTGGAGCAGGGTCCACATCACCATTAGCCCCGCCCCGCCCCGCCCCACCCTGCAGCCTGTGGCTCATGCAGGTCACTGGCCCAGGCCTCAGCTGCTTTTCACTGAGGTCACTGTCCACACACCTGGCAGCTCTCAAAGTAAGAGGGAACTGGTGGCACACACCTTTAGTCCCAGCACTCAGGAGGCAGAGGCAGGTGGATCTCTGTGAGTTCAAGGCCAGCCTGGTCCATGAGTGAGTTCCAGGACTGCCAGGGCTACACAGAGAAACCCTGTCTTGGGGGAGGGAGGACCACAAAAGTAAGAGACAGGTGGGATGGAGGGGAGCCAGTACTTTGGGCTTTGGTCACTCTGGGCCTTAAGGAGACAGTTCAGGTCAGGCCTGGGCCCTAACCCTGTCCACAGGCACTCCTAGCTCTTATGTGAACACTGGCTTGCCCACAGTAGAGGATTTCTATAGCAATAGTAGTTTCGAGTCCTCATGCTGCTAACCATCTGAATGTATATCAAATACTGTCATGCTGAGCTACAGTCAGGTCAAGTTAAACTACCTAACCAAGCTCACTCACCTAAGAAGAGGCAGAGGCCAAGGCAAGCTCGCTTAGAATCTGTGCCCAGAAATACTACTTCATATGCTTAAGTGAGGACAACGTGGGGTGTGCAATAGGAGTGTGCAAGAGCACTCAGTTATATTTTTAAGTGGCTTAGCTATTATTTGCGGGGAGAGCTAGGTGTGCTCCCTAAAATTTAATGCACTGGCAGATGAAAACTGTTACTGAGGGTGTAGCTTGTTATAGATTACCTGTCTAGCATTTGCAAGGCCCCAAGTCCAATACCCAGCACAGCTGACAGAGGGATGACTGTTAGCAAAACTTAAATGAACTGGGTCCCACCAGGTATGATGACCCATGCACATAATCCCAGTGTTTGGGAGGCTGAAGCAGAATTGCCAGGAGTAGATGCCAGTTTGGACACACACTTCCTGGGTAGCCTGGGCTACAAGTAAGATTCCATCTCCAGATTTTATTAATTAATGAATTCACTGGGTCCCTCTTAAATTCTTCTGAATTTATGGACCCTTTAAGAAGCTAATAGTGAGGGGCAGGGAAAAAAATTAATAGTGAGCCAGGTGGTGGTGATGCATGTCTTTAATCCCTTCACTCAGGAGGCAGACTCAGGCAGATCCTTATGAGTTCAAGGCCAGCCTGATCTATACAGTGAGTTCCAGGACAGCCAAGGCTATGTAGAGAGAGACCCTGTCTCAAAAAAACACAAACGAGAAAAAACGCTACTAAGTATAATCTAAGCTACATGAGACCATGTCTCAGAAAAGAAAGATGGGAACATCTAAGTTAGTGAGTACTAAAGGACTCTGCACTGTGCCGTCAAGCGCCTTGTACTCTTAGCTCTATCCTCCCCAGCCTGTGAGGAGGCCCCTCTTACAGCTGTGGCAACTAAGACTCAGCATCTTCCCCTAAGTGTGCAATTACAAATGGATGGCTGGAGTACACACGTGTGTGACTGTCCCCAGCTGCCTTATTGTGTGTGCTGGCACTCAGAGAAATCATACAGAACAAACTGCACATTAGGATTCTATATAAACAGACTTGGTTTGGGTCTTTTATTTTTGAGTCAGGGTCTCACTGTATATAGCTTTAGCCTAGCACTTGCTTTGTAGACCAGAGGTGTCTTGAGTTCAGCCTCTCCCAGTCAGCTTGCTCTGAGCCAGGCCTGCAGTTGCATGCTGTCTTTATCGAGGCTTGTCTTTATTGAGGCTGGGCCTTTTCATCTTGAGTGCAGGCATTAGCAGGGGCCAAATACATCACAGTGGTTTCTTAATCCCAAAATACAGGGAGCCCCAAACATCCATTTTCCTTCAACACTTTTCCACAGAAACACAGTGTCAGCACTGCTAAATAATTTGGTGTGAAATGTTGATTTAATTCATAGACCTGCAAGGACTGAAGGGCCTTGTTGCAAGACCAACTTGAGCAACAAAACTCAAGGAGGTCAAGCCAAATCTGGAAATCATTGGGTTGTGAAGTCAGTGGGGTCTAAGCCCCAGGCTTGCCCTTGGGTGGGAAGCAGCTTTAGCTTTGAGGACAGCTTTAGCTGGCACCCAGGCCCTTTGAACGGCTAGAGAGATGGCTCAGCAGTTAGAACTGCTTCTGCTCCTGCAGAGGTTGTTACCAGCTTACAGCCACCTGTAACCCCAGCTCAAGGATGGGCACACACAAACACATAAGTACAAATAAAATGATAAAATGGTTTTGTTTTGTTTGTTTTAATGCCTCTCCAGAGGCAGGGAGAGACCCAGGGCCATGTGGCAGCCAGCCGGAATCACTTCCAAATGCTCTTCAACTTTAAGCAGGCTGGCTACATCTTAGCATTATAGTCCATGAGTAGTCTTTGCAGGGGCCTGGGTAGGTCGTCTGCTGAGCATGGGGCCTGGCTTCAACCTCTCCCATCTGACTGACTCAGTCTCAGCACCTGTACAGCATCCGTCTGCCCCCTCCCTCCAGCTGAGGCTGACCGGAAGGATGCCAGGATGACCTCATCTGTGAAGGATTGAGCCCTGCAGGTGACCAGGGCTCCTATCATCCCACCTGCTGTGGTTGGAGGTTTCCACCTTCCCCGGAGCTTGGCAGCCTGCTGAGAAGCCTACCTCTGCAACAGAATTGGAGAGTGTGGTCTAAGGACCAGCTGGGTTACAT